TGGATATAGTTTTAAATATATTTGATATTATATATATAATATCAAATATATTTAAAACAATATCCAATTTTATCTTTTTTGACACTATATATAGACAGACACATATGGATATACACACATACATATATACATGAACATATCTATGTATACACCATTTTTATAGTATGTCTATAGATATGTTCATGTTATTTGCCATATTTAGGCATAGTTGACACACTGATTTTGTTATCTGTCTAGTCTGGAATGATCTTATTGTAATTTAGTGACGATATACGTATTACTTTCGGGATGAACAGTGGGAGGGCAGCACTGTCTGATATGTAAGCAGTGAAACCTATTCTTGCTAATGTGTAGTATGTACATATGTAATATCACCTTTCATCTTCAACTGAGATAGTAATGAACGGGGTACCATATAACTTTTGACGCACCCATTATGCTGATTTTTTTCAAAGGTTTATTATTTACTCGGAATTAAATATATCTTCAAATAATTTCCCCCTCTCTAACCTAACATAATTATAACTTAATCATATACACTAACCTGAACTGTAACCCTAGCTAGTAGTAACTCTATCATTTAGTGTAGTATGTGTTTTTACAGTCACAGTCTACCCTAATGAAGCTAGAGATATGGTGTTTGGTGTATCGTAGTGTGTGCACTCTGTTCGAATTGGGTGTGTCGCTTGCATATCGGTCATTATGTACGGTATACGTCTAACGCCGAGGCCGAACATTGTGGGTATAATAGTCAAACCTGTATATTAGTGTCGCACGAGTGAAATCCCACTGCTTTTCTTTACAAACAGTCTCCGTTCCCGTTCTATAGAAGTAGTTTCTTTGTACAATTCCCAGCCAAAGGAAACTCTGCTGTCCAACAAAGTGACCTTTGTAGACAGGTGTCCATTCTATGTCGTTCCACTCTATAACTGCCATGCAAGAGAAACTCCTAAAGTGACCTTTACAGACAGGTGGCTGTTCTATAGTTGTTCATAATTGTCCCCTGTACCTGTACCTGTACTTCCTACTGGTAGCACCTTGCAGTGAATGTGGGCTGCTAATGTATGGTGACATTGAGGTGAGAGATATCTGGACCCCATGCAGCAATCGCTAATGATCTATTCATATTTCGCAGACATGTTGGCCCTATATGGCAATTTACAATTGATGATCGATTTGCACTTTACCAATATCTGGGCCCTCCTTGCCAATACGTGGCAATTTCCAATAATGGATCACTCGTTAGGCTATATATGTGGCTGGGTGATGTAGACTGGGTGTGAAGCAATCATCCTCACCTTCACTAGGAATCTCGATGCGATGTCAATAGCAATATGGATATTCGTATCTTCGATCTTGTTGATATTCACACGGCAGCAGACGTCTAGCGTGCTTACGTGGAAGCAACGGAACAATGGAGAATTAATGTGGAGGACAAATCTCACTCGTCGTGTTAGTAGTAGCCACGCGGCCTGGTAAATGGTGTAGTCATCGTGATTTGAAGCAAGGAGCTATATAGATATACAGCTATAGTTCAAAGAAGGGACATAAAACAAGAATCACACACGAGGTCGTCGCGAATCTATTTTTATTTTCAAAGCAGTCGACTCTCACGGTAGTCTCGTAATGGTAACTCTTCACAGTCCAAAGTAGGAGTACAGGTCGCACGAATTGATGGAGAACACGTTGTTTACACCTGTTGTTATTGTAGTTCAACTAAACCGTGTAGTGCTTTGTGATCATGTCGTGTTTCCACGCGTGCGTGTATTTGTAAGGCCGTGTGTCTTTTTCATCATTTTTTCGATAGTCGTAGGTATGTAGCTAAGTAGATATGACCTCGCTCCTGAATAAAGCACAGGTTGAAAGTGGATAGTGGCTGATATATTTTAATGTCGAAAAGTGAAAACATCAGTATGAAAATTTAACTGCACTTTCTAAATATATATCAATGTACTTTATTTTCGATTTGTTGTTCACAGAAAATAGATTCTTTTAATACACTGCATAATGCAAGCATAGTTCTTTGTGAGTTTTGTATTCAACACACATATACAATATATACATACACATCTGCCATGCCACAAATTACTCATTAGACAATAGAATTGGGTAATACCAGACCAGTACTTCAGATTTAGAAATTACATGGCTAATGGTATGTTTCATGCATGCTCCGTTGTCCAGACGACACACATAGATAGTACGTATGGGAAGCCACAGTCGTATCTTCACCAACTAAAGAGATTTTTGGTGGAATGGGGACTTGGGGAGTAACTCTATAAGAAGCCATGACTAGTCGAAGGAAGTGGGAAGGTTAGTGGAGGGGCCGCCACACTGCTGGAGGTATGTTATACTACCACGCACTCCCACCAGACAGCAGTCATTCGCTACTGCTCTGTTCTGTGACTCACGGTTGCTGATTAGACGGGCGACAGGCAGTGACTCGTCGCCACAAAATAAATAACGTGCTCTCAGACATATATTCCAAAGTATCACGAAACGTTCACACACGCTGCAAATGTGTCTAACCGCATAACACGGAATTCTAGTAAACTCCGGCTTGCAAAAGTCCCTCGTACCAGCCGGTACTTCAATAGCCCTGTTCCGTACATGTGCATGATGATTAACAAATTGTAAACAGGCACTGCATTTTTTACAATAGCATGGATAATTAGTCTTTTGCTTGCACCCCTTTATAAACATTTTGGTCTCTTTGAAATAACCCTCTGGACAACTTTCGGTTATGTGATATGTTTGATTCTATCACTGTGTCGCATTTTAATCGTAATTATTTTTTGACCAAGGATCACGTTATTTTAAATTTAGTATATATTCTAAAGATGGTTTTTAGTTTAGTGATATAATTTTACGAACCAACGTTTTAAGTGATATCTATGTCTTATAATGGGACATATATTATTGTAAATATCATCAATTTCAGTTTTATACTGACTGATGACATCTTGTTTGCAAAATTTATTTTAATTGTAACGTTGTTAACACTAGTTTTGCAATAAACCTATTATTTATCTATCTATCTATCTATCTTAGAAAACTACCGTCGTTCGTGTCACAATCACGGCGATTGCATGACAGATGACTGATTATTGCACCAGGGAGAAATACACATTTTACATACCAGGGTATTTTCTTATTTAGCATATGCCATGTGCTATTTCCAATAATGCTGAATAGCCGAGCTCGTAGAGAACAGGCGTTACGTCTGAAAGGTTGTTGGTTCGAATCCCATCTGTTTATTTTATTTTATTTTTATTTGTTTTCAATTTTTCTGGTTAGGGTTAGGTTAGGATTAGGGTTCACAATGCGTATACATGTGTACACATGTGTATTATGGGCCCGAGCGATCCCGAAGTTGCGGCCTACTACCGTTCGGCTATTTTCGGAAAAATGTGTATTTCTCCCCAGTACACGATTCCTGTGCTCTATGCAATCACGCAGATGCACTTCCTCCCGTTTACGGCTTTTCATTGTTCATCTGCTGGTACGGAACGCCATCCTTTAAGAGACCTGAAATAAGAGAGCAGCTTCATTCAGCCTGGCTACACGAGCACGTGGCAAGTCATGTCTGGCTTCCGATCACACTCCAACCTTCCACACGGCAACAGAGAGACATGTGCGTCGTCAGAAAAACATCTCTTGCCAGAATTATCGCTTATTGTCTATACCATCTTCCGTACTGCTGTCAAAACTAGTTTAAGCATTTAGTAAAACTTACAAACATCACGGTTGCACCATGAAACGAACATTGAACATTGATGAGAAAACCAAAACAAGCTTTCCTTCCACCAGAAACTCGAATACCACATCTGATGTAAGGAATGTTAATGAACTATCCACAACACTGACTTGCAACCCTGACATGGACTTCCATTAAACGTGAGGAATAACACTTAACAGAATTCAGAAGCTACACCAGCACATGGTGGACTACTGTTAATGTTACATGAAGCAACGGAACATGCGGTTTATATGTGGCGCATGTGCTGTGAAAGAGTGGTGAACTGTGCATCCGGGTACTTTGGGGAGAAAGATGGGATGGCGTCTCCCAGTGAGGAGCGAAATGCTACGTGGGGGGGGGGCGAGTGTGAAGCGGTGTCGTGGGAGGACGGGGGGCGAGTGTGAAGCGGTGTCGTGGGAGGACGGGGCGCGAGTGCGAAGCGGTTGACTGATCAGAGGACAGGCGGGGGCGAGTATGTGAAGCCATCAAGGCTGACGTGGGAGGACGGCGGGGCGGCAAGTGTGAACGCGGTGTCCGTGACTGAGGAGGGGGGCGCGCGAGGTAGCTGAAGCGGTGTCGTCGGGAGGGACAGGCGCGAGGTGCGCTCCCCAAGCGGTGTCGTGGGAGGGACGTCGGGCCTGCTGAGTGCGAAGCGGTTGTCGTGAGAGGATGGCGGGCGAGAATGTGAAGCGGATGTTGTGGTGAAGGACGGGGGGCAGTGTGAAGCGGGTGTCGTGGAGGCGGGGCGGGCGACGTGCGAAGCCGGCGCCCCGACGGGCGCGCGGGCTGTCGTGGGAGGACGCCGGGGGGCGGAGTGTGTTTGAAGCCGGGTATGCGGAGCGAGACAGGTGCAGCGGTGATTGACTGAACGCCGGTGTCGTGGGAGGCGGGGGCGAGTGTGAGCGTGTTTGTGGGAGGCGGGGTCAAGTGTTGAGCGGTGTGTGTGCGAGGTACGCGGGGGCGAGTTCGTGAAGCGGTGTCGTGCAGGCACGTGGGGAGCGAGTGTGAACGGTGACTTGGTGGGAGGAGGGGGGCAGATGCGAAGCTGGTTTCGTGGTAGGACGGGGCGCGAGTGTGAAGCAGTGTCGTGGCTGGAGGACGGGGGGTCGCGAGTGTTGACAGCCCATGGGGGTTGTTCGTGCGCAAGGACGCAGGGGGCGAGTGTTGAAGCGGTGACGTGGGAGACGGGGGGCAAGTGCGAAGCCGGTTTCGTGGAGAGCGTGGGCGACGTCATGTGAAGCCGGTGAAGTGGAGGACGGGGGGCAAGTGCTGAAGCTGGCTGACGTGGAGGAGGGGGGCCGAGTGCGAAGCGTGGTGTCGTCGGGAAGGGTACGGGGCGAGTGTGAAGCGGGGTGACGTGGGAGGACGAGGGGAGGTGTGAAGCGTGACGTGGCCGGAGGACGTGGGGCGAGTGCACCGAAGCTCGGATGTCTGTGGGGGACGGGGGGCGAGTGTGAAGCGGGGGCCCTGTCGTTGCAAGGACGGCGATGGCGGAGTGTTGAGCGGTGACGTGAGAGGAGGGGAAAGTGCGAAGCGGTTTCGTTAGGAGGACGAGGGGAGCAGGCTCATCTACGACGCCGGGGCGAGTGTGAAGCGGTGTGTGCGAAGGATCGGTCGGGGCTCGGATGTGTGCTGAAGCCGGCTGTCATGTGGCTGAGGACGGGGGGCAGTGTGAAGCGGCTTTCGTCGGCCGAGGAGGGGCGAGCCCCCTACCGTGATAAGTGTTGAAGCGGGTGTGTGCAAGGACGGGGGGCTAGTGTGACGCGGTTTTATTTTGTTGTGGTAGATGGGGGCGAGTGTGAAGCGGTTGGCGTGAAAGAGGACGGGGGCAAGTGTGAAGCGGTTTCGTGGCGAGGCGGGGGGCGAGTGCTGAAGCTCCAAGTGTCGTGCAAGGAAGGCGCGGGGCGAGTGTGAAGCGGTGACGTGGATGGGACGGGGTAGGCAAGTGGGAAGCGGTTTTCGTGGCGAGGACAGGGGGCGAGTTGTGAACCAACGGTGTGTGCAAGGACGGGGGCGAGTGGTGAAGCGGTGCACGTGGAGAAGGAGCGGGGGGCAAGTGTTGAAGCGGTTTTCGCTGGGAGGACGGGGGAGAGTTGCGAAGCGGCGATGTCGTGGTAGAGGAGGGATGGGCGACGTGCGAAGCGGTGGTGCGTGCAAGGACTGGGGGTGCGAGTGTTGCAAGCGGTGAGTGGCCGGGACGGGGGGCAAGGGTGTGCAAGCGCCTTTCGTGCTGAGAGACAGGGGGCGAGTGTTTGAAGCCGTGTGGCAAGCGACGGGGGGCGAGTGTGAAGCGGTGTCGTGGGAGGACGGGGGGGGGCGCGAGCGTGAAGCAGTGTCGCCATGGGAGGACGACTTGCGGCACATGACTGGCTGCGTGAGTGCCACTCACCGTATTTACGCCGGATGTTGTCGTTGTTCTCTGTCCTCTCGGCCATCCTGCAGAATAAAACATTCAGTCATCCACCGAATCTATCATTACGGCACTCAAGACATAGTACTGATTAAAATAACTTTCTCTCTCACTCTCTCCTCCTCTCCCTATATCTCCCTCTCTGTGTATGTGTGCATCCGCGCGTGTGCATGTATGTATTACATATCGAGTGAATAACATCATGAAGTAATTAGCAAAATGGTAACTACAACAAAATTGGGAAAACATTGCCGATGCGTGCATAGGACAATTAACACAGGATCCTGACCATCCGAGTGATGCGCATAAGGTGCAATGTTGGATGGCCTGGCATGCACTCACCTCATCTCGTGCTGTTGACGTCGTTCCTCTCTTCTGCTCACCTCTCTCGCATCCTCGCGCTCGTATCTGCAAAACACGCGTAATCGTCAGCATCGGTCGCCACGGCAACGCATTGCCAGACAAGCAACGCGGATTGGCAAAATGCGATTGATTGTATCTGCATAAACTGAGAGCGTAAAATCATGTCTCAAGTACCCTGGAGCACATGGTCAGAACATTGGTCTTAACATTACCTTTTTCTCATAGACCGTTGCCAGAATCATGGTGAAGTTACGAGTTACGCGTGTGCATTATACAGAGATCCCATTTCAATAAAAATTCCACGTTGAGACTAATTTGGGTTCTGACAACGGGACCTTGGCTGCCGTCTGTGGCCCCACGTCGCAAATCGCGATGCACGGACGCCCTTGGAAGCAACGAGTGGCCACTCACTTCTCCTTGTTGCCCTTGGAGCGGCAGCAGCAGCAGTAGACGCAACAGCAGACAGAGACGAGAATCGTTCCCGCAACCACTGCCATCGATATGATCAATGCCTTCAGGTTGACTACAACATAGAATGCCGACAGTATTAGCACTCTCTTTTTCTTGCCCTTCTACTTGTCGTCGCCAGAGGGCGCCGGATGATGACTGCGTTGCCGACATTCGTATCAGTTCGCAATCGCGTCTCGCACCCGTTATCTACCCATTGGCTCTCTAGGGAATTGATCGGACTAATCGATATTTATCGCTCGACTATACTAGATCACAATAGTAGAGCAGTGCAATGTAGCAAAACCAGCCCTGGATATTTCTCAGATAGAGTAGATGCTAGAGAGGTGCGTCAGGTCTACTCACACCAGCACAACTTCGGTCCCCATCTCGCCTCCCCCAACGGACACACATCGTTTCCTGGCAGTATGGTCTCCTTCGGATACAATTTGCAGCTTTTGTCCTTAAAGCAGTAGAGGCACTGCAAAGAACGACAATCGATACATAGACAGATCTATGCGTCATTACCTCATTTACACAGACAACGATGTTGAACAAAAACAAGTGCCGCATAGCGACAGCGCTCATCTAACGTCTACTGCGGTGACTCTGTGGTGGAGTGG